ATACCCTAGTCACCCTACATACCCTAGTCACCCTACATACCCTAGTTACCCTGGTTACCCTGGTTATCCTAGTACCCCTAAATACCCAAATTACCCTAAATACCCCAACTACCATCCACCGACCACTACCAAACCTACTACTGGACCCACCACCAAAACTTGCCCCACGACAACTCGCAAGTGCTCCCATAAACCATCCGGCACTACAGAGTATCCAGGCCAAGTTAGTGGAGACGTTTCTTTCGACCGTCTTCCCTTTCCTGTACAAATCAAACACTGTCCGAGGTCTGGCCATGTCCCAGAGAACCAGGATTACATGCATGAAGCATTTCACAAATCTGGATTCCAGGATCAATCATTTCCAGGCTTCCACTGGCAGCCTGTTCCCTGGTTCCCTGGTGAAGGCAATAATCAGTTTGACCAGAGACATCTACGACCTGATGTTTAACCCCACAGGGTAAGGATCATTAACTCTAAGTGTTTAAACATGTATATGTAATAAAGTTTGTAAACCGTAACTAACTGTCTTTCAGGTGTTGGTGGCCTGTGATGTTCAGCACTGAATAAACAGTTGTTTTTTTAACCTGAAAAGTTGGCCTCATTTATGCTTCATCTGTTGGATCTCTAGTCATGTAGGAAACTAATGAGCTCATAAAACTTATGTCCTTGGATGGCTAATTTATGGAGGTGAAATACACTATTCTGCTGACACTGTTGGTTGCCTCATACTCTAACACAGGGGTCTCCAATCCTGGTCCTCGAGGGCCACAATCCTGCATGTTTTAGATGTTTCCCTCTTCCAACACACCTGAGTCAAATGATCAGCCCATCAAGCTCTGCAGAAGCCTGATAATGATCCTGATCATTTGAATCAGTTGTGTTGGAAGAGGGAAACATCTAAAATGTGCAGGACTGTGGCCCTCGAGGACCAGGATTGGACACCCCTGCTCTAACATTCTAACATCTTGGACAAATGAGTCCTCTACTCTTTTTAAATTTGACTTTTTTGGAACAAAGTGACCTAAATCTCTACATTTCTTTTAAAAATCTTGGCCTCTATACACAATTTTTCTTCTTACTGTGCAGACCACTCACTGCTGTATACACTCGTCCAACGCATGCACACGCGTACACCCCATTCTGTCTGTTCCTATATTTCCACATGGCGCTCTCTCTCACCCTTGGGCATCCTGTGACGATGCGCTTGTGCACAAACGGTTCCACACACATCACTGGAACTCTGCCGCACGTGACAACTGAGAGACGTGTAACGCTGCTCACTCTCGAGCAAGAGATGCTCTGCTATATATCTTTTTTTTTTATCCCACCCCCGTTCATTTACGATTTTTGGACTGGTCGGATTTTTGCAGGGCACTGAGCTCTGAAGCCAATTCTCTATAATGGCAAGAAATCCTAAAGTTGACCTTTTATGCAATGCGGTGCTCATGTCTGTTTTGTAATATTTGCTGTTTTGAAACGATTTCATCTAAAGGAGTAGTTGCATCTCTACAATAAAGGTGAGTCCTATGTACACATGTGCTATATAAGATTTGACTTATTTTACAAATTATAAATGTAAGAAGTTGCATCTTGATATGCATTTGTTAAGTAACTGATGCTGTTTTCATATAAATGTACTGATAAAACAAATGTGAAATGATTTCATGTTTAACCCCTCTTTTTAAAAATGTTTTATTAACCCATTTCTTCTATCCATGCCATCAGGAATTATCAAGACACCATGTAAGCTAAACAGACTGGAACTGCCATCATTCAAGCAGCTGATTTTTGCAGAGATCTGTATCCCACCTCTGTCTATCTCTGGCCATATTCCCAGCCAGAGCACTTAGCCCCTCCTCCGTCCCCGTCGTTTCCTTCGCCCACCACCGTTTGTCTTTATGGAGGACTATGATGTGGACATGGATGAGGAAGAGGAGGGAGTAGTGTTAACCAGGAAGGCCACCACAAGCCACTGGTGGGAGGACTGCGATGGCAGCTGTGACATACAACACCAGGGAGGAGGAAGAGGCTGCATGGTCAACAGCCGCAGTTGGGCCGAGGAGCTCCAGGATATCTTTGTACCGGCGGCAGAGGACTGTTACAGGAGAGGACGGACCAGGCTGTCCAGCATCTCTGTGAGTAACTGACTGTCTCTCTTGTTTGAGCTGCACAGTGTGTGAATGTGCTCTCTACTGTATCGATTAAAGATCCCACATTATATTCTGTTTTAACTGGTTAGTGTAAGTCTCACTTGTCTCGAGAAGGTGTAGTTCAAGTTTCAGCTCGAAATGCTGCACGGATTGTTCAATCTTACATGCCTGTAGTATCCCTGGTTTGAGCCCTGTTTTGTCTGGGCTGTTTTAGTGTCTGTAGCTTTAAATCAAACTGAGTTGCTGTTGTCCATGGCCCTTTCTAGAGGAGGTACATCTCTCTTTGTATCTGCTGCACTCAGTGTTTGGCAGAGAGGAGCTTGTGGGAGGAGGAGCCAGATGGGGGCGGTGCTTGTCCCGCTGTGACATCATAACAGGTTGCAAACCTGTACGGTTCATCCAGAGGCACTTTCTGATCTATGCAGAAAGGACAGACTCAAAGAGGTTTCTGATGTTTTCTGGATCTTTAGACACATTGAGCCTCACAAATTATGAACGTTTGTTTTCTGCATAGTATGGGCCCTTTAACCACAAGAAAACAGTGAATCAAGCAATCCCTTTTATTTTTTGTTTAGCTAAAGGATTCATTGGACCTTTTGAGATTTTTATCATTCCTGCTCATAAGGTTCCACATATTTCCACCTGTAAGATTTCTAGTACAACTATGCCTCTTTAATGTCTGGAAAAGGAGCAGCTCCAAAGTTTCAGCAAGCTTTTTTTTTTTTTTTTTTAGGGGAAAAATATATTTAATTACCCATCTCCTCCTAGTCTGAATGATTCAGAACCTGAAGTATATGAGCCACTAGTCGCCTTGACCAATGGTACACAGGTTTAATGACTCAGCAAAAATTCAAATTTCTCCAAAAAAAATGGAGGTTAAATTTTTTCCAGCTGACGTTTAGGAGCAGGACCAGACTTCAAACACTCTCCCTCTTATTATCTGAAAACAGCGAGTTGCACAACAGCATTTGCGGTCCTCGGCTGTGACGTACTATATCTGTTTTAAAATGTTGTTAGATACAGTAAGTGATCATAATGGTATTGGCCCTGAGAGAAATTCCTGGCATGGAAAGGCTGAGTATTTTTGGCCGGATGCTGATGCTAATAAAGGATGAAAGATGACTCAAAATGTAGTGTTTGTTTAATCAGCCCGTTGCTGCATTGTGACACAGCACTGTGGGAACTAACCGCGAGCATGTGTGCGTGCATCAGTGTTTGCGTATGCACGAGTGGGCGCATGCACCGTGTGCTTCCTCGTCTCTCTTACGGCTCATCACGCTGGAATCTGTGATGTGGAGCGAGGCTGGAGGAGACTCCTTTAGGAGACAAAACAAACAGAAAATGTGTAATTAAGAATTCCCCTCACAATGCTTAGGGACCAGATGCAGATGTCATGTCATTCTGCAGACATCTCTCAGAGGAGTCTTTATAAAAATCCTCTTAAAGTGTTTTTTTTTAACATTTGGTTTGACTACATTTTGGCCTTATTGCTCACCTTGCCAAGCAATTTATCATCCGCCCTTATTTCTGTCAATCCACAAGATACATCTCCTTTTATCTGAGCAAGATTTATAGCAGGTGCAATTTGTTCCTTTCCAATAAACTAAAGACGAGAGACGGAAAGCGAGCGAGGAAGATGGAGGAACAGATAACAGATCAGGCAGCACTGAGCAGCTCTCTCCGCCCTCCCTCCTCCCGTTTCTCTCTCCTCCTCTGCTTCCGTCTCTTCCCACTCTTTCCTCTCCTGCTCCCACATCCTCCCCCCGCCCTCCCCTCTCTCTCTCTCTCTCCCCTCCTCCCTGCTCTCTCCTCCCTCCCTCGCTCTCCTGCATGGAGCTGCGGTATATGAGAGGGTCTCCTGGGTCTAGCTTCACTGCAGTGTAGAGGAGGGCAGGACGGCTGTTTTTAGTACGATGCTCTGAAGGATGGTGCACCAGGAGAAACGCGTTTACCAGGTGCGTGGATTTGTGTTTCTTCTCTGCACTGTTGTTATGTTGAAGGCTTATGTGGTGTAATGTCCATAGGTATACATGATAGGTATCCATCATGGGTGTTTCTGTTGTAGACAAATCAGCCATACTGGATGAGGGGATGTGTGATTGTAAAGGGAGTGGGTGTGTTCATATGTGATTCCTGCTTGTGCTTTTCTGTTCCTCTGCATATCTCTAGTAAAATTTGAAACAATTTATAATCTCATATGGGTATTATACACATAATCATATAATGTGGATTTTCAGAAATTAAATCAATCATTTGCAGAGACCGTGATCTGCATTTGCGATGCCACTAAAAATAAAAAAAGAAAAAGGTTTTGTGTGAATCTGTGGGTGTAGACGGTCAGTAAGGAGGACATCCGGTTGACTGGAATGGGGTAGCAGGAGGTAAAAGTATTGGTTTGGAGAGTGAAGGCAATCAACTGATTTATGCTCTTACATCACAGCTTCATCTACTGATGCGTCACAAAAAAAAAAGAGGGTGCATATGTGTGAGGTTATTTAGAGCGAGAACACTGATACACAAGAAAAACATCCCTAATTTAGGAGGTTGTCGGTGCTGAGAGTCTCGCACACAAACGTAGGCATGAGAGCATTTGGCACCATTTAATCATATGAACATACTTTCTGTATCACGCCAGATTAGAAAACCAAGCTGTGCCGAAGCGTTTTATCTGATATTTTTTCCAAATCAAGACCTAAAGATGTGAGCATCTGAGACAGAAGAAAATAGATCTAAAGACAGCTCCCGAATATAAGCTGAGATAAAGTGGGGGGAAAAAAAGAATACAAGGAAGGAGGAGGATGGAGAAACGGGACCAAACATTAGCCACCTTTAGATAGTTGTGAAACACCAACGCAGAATGACGTGGCATTTTAAACCAGCAGCACTAACAGGGATGGAATCTTTAACCATTTTAGGTACCGTCTCAATGATGAAATGTGAATCAGCACAACAGTTAAAGCAGACATTATTGACAAACTACAGCCATTACAGTCGACCTTGCCGATTGCTGTAATTACTTGAAAGAAAAAACATACACAAACAGGCTTTTTAGGTCTGTGGTGTGGACCTGAAAGGTTTAAACCCCAAAAATTGGCCTTGTACTTTACCTCCATGTTGAAACACTGTTACCTGATGACCGGTCATGAGGATAGAATGAGCAGATTTGTTCAGACGTCCATTTTTCTTTACGTGTGTAATCTCTTCTATCCCACAATGCATCAGCCACCCTGGACAGGTTGTCACCAGGTAGTCGGTCTATAACAGGACTGACACACAGACAGAATAAACGCATTTACACTCACATTCATCCATGGGAGCAGATGTAGAGTTTCTCTTTAAATCAGGGCGCCTGAATCAGCCAGATCTTTATGTGATCGCAAATGTATTTGCTAGAAGTCTTACAAGATGAGCATCTGCTGTACACATCTTTTAGGCTTACAGCAGAAAATGATTGATGTCTGAACCAGAGCGAGCCCTCGTTTTCAAGCCATTTCAAGCTTTTACGGCTCTAATTTAAATACCTTTCTACACACTCAGCTAAATCATTCTTACTGCGAAATTTGTGACCCACTTGGTCAATCAAGCAGAGATGGCAAATACAGGAGCTGCACTCCTAATATTGTTCTTTGTATTCACGTATTTTTCTTGTTTTCTGGCAGGCCCAGAGGAATGAGAGAGAGTCCATCAGGCAGAAACTTGCCCTTGGCAGTTTCTATGACGACGAGCCCGTCATCTACACCAGCTGCAGCAAGAACGGCCCGTCCTCCCGGTGGGTTTCAATATGTGTGTGTGTGTGTGTTAGTGTTTGATCAATGTGGCCTTTTGAAGGCTGACATCAATATTACGGTGTTGTAGCTGCTGACAGCTCGCGCTTCAGGTCTTTAAATCTTTTCCTGGATTTTATTCTTTGATTAATGGCAGCGAAACGTTGATGTGTCCTAGATTCAAGTAATTACTGATGTATGCAAAACAATTTTTTTTTTACATTTTGCAGCTAAATATACAACGGTGGCCAAAAGTTTTTAGAATGACACAATTGTTAATTTTCACAAAGTCTGCTGCCTCGATTTTCATGATGCGTATACTCCAGAATGTTATGAAGAGCGATCAGATGAAGTCCCCCTTTGCCATTAAAATCAACTCAATCCCACAAAAAACAAAAAACCTTCCCAGTGCATTTCCACCCTGCCACAGAAGGACCAGCTGACATCATGTCAGCGATTCTCTCGTGAATACAGGTGAGAGACGAGGCTTGAGATCACTCTGTCATGCTGATGGAGTCAGATAAACAGACCTTTAAAAGGAGGGTGGTGATTGAAACCGTTGTTCTTCCTCCGTTAACCATGGTTACCTGTGAGGAAACGCATGCAGTCATCATTGTGCTGCACAAAAAGGGCTTCACAGGCTATTGATGCTCGCAAGATAGCACCAAAATCAACCAATTATCGGATCATCAAGAACTTCAAGGAGAGAGGTTGAAGGAGGAGGCCTGGTGTCAAGAACGGCAGAGAAGTCACTTCTCTTCAGGACAAACACGAGGGACAGACTGATATCCTGCAAAAAGGGACAGGGATTGGACTGCTGAGGATCGGGGTAAAGTCATTCTCTCTGATGAATCCCCTTTCCGATCGTTTGGGGCATCCAGAAAAAAGCTTGTCTGGAGAAGAAAAGGCGACGCTGCCATCAGTCCTGTGTCATGTCAACAGTAAAGCATCCTGAGACCATTCATGTTTGCTTCTCAGCCAAGGGACTGGGCTCACTCACAATTCTGCCTCAAGAACACAGCCATGAATACAGAATGGCACCAAAACATCCTCCGAGAGCAACTTCTCCCAGCCATCCATTGAGTTTGGTGATAGACAACGCCTTTTCCATCATGATGGAGGACCTCGCCATAAGGCAAAAGTGATAAGTAAGTGGCCCGGGGAACAAAACATCGAAACTTTGGGTCTGTGGCCAGGAAACTCTGCAGACCTTAAGAGACGTTGTGGTCAGTCCTCACAAGGCAAACAAAAACCCACAAATCCTGACAGACTCCAAGCACTGATTTTGCAAGAATGGGCTGCCATCAGTCAGGATGTGGCTCAGAAGTTGATCGACAGCATTCCAGCGCAAATTGCAGAGGTTTTGGAAAGAGAAGGGTGAACACTGCAAATATTGACTCAGTGTAATTGTCACTGAAAGCCTTTGACTCTTACTTCAGCACACCATAGTAACATCTGACAAAAAGATCTAAAAACACAGAAACTTTGTGAAAACCAAACTTGTGTCATTCTCAAAATTTTTGGCCATGGCTGTGAATGTTGTAGACTTATAAGATGACTGGCCAACAAAACACATTTAAACCAAATACCTGCCCGACATATTGGAAAACCAATGTTTAAATAGAGTTTGATGTTGACAATCTGTGGAGCAAAATGTTTGATTTGGGATTTTTCAGACGCGCTGAAGGCTTTTGGTACGGGTTCAGGAAGTTGTCATTCTTTTTAGGCTTTGAAAAATAGCAACAACAACAAAAAGCTGAAAAATGGCTGTATTTATTAGAGAGATATGGTTTTTTTTTTTAGAACAGCAACGCTTTCCGATCCCACACGCTATCAGTCATGAAAAGGATGTGAAGTTAAGACTTTATTAGCCAGGAGAGGGTGCTATTCAGCAGCTCACATGATCTTTTAACTAAGAAATGTACACTGAGAACTAACACATTTCAAACTGTTGGGGTGGCTTGTTGTCTTGTAGATGCCCAATGCAGTTGACAGTAAATGACAGCAGGACCTTTGGGGAAGTTTATTTAGAGGCAGTGACTCACATGGTTGAGAATTCTGCATCGTGCAATAAAACGGGTCAAGTAAAAACGGTAACTGACGTGTGTCTTGTGTTGTTGGGGGCTACAAACAGAGGAAGACAGTGAGTCATTTAAATCACAGACATGCAGAGCAAAGGAGAAAGGTTTCCTGTGAAGCCACAGCCGTCTTTACAGGCAGTCTGTGGGAACTGATGGTGGACTGAATGCTCACTAATTTAAGAAACGCGTGTGTGAAAACAGTGGTCACAGAGGACGGGGCACCGTGGTTAACCTCTGTTTCACGACAAGTTGCTGAGATAGAAACTTCAATGAGTCAGACAGATTTTGGAGAAATCGCTGTATAAATCCTGAAAACACACCTAATCCAGAAAAGCATTAGGTGTGAACATGTTGTACAATTTTTCATTTGCAAATGTTTTGATAAGTTTCTACATTGTTATTTTATATTGTGGCTTAAAATGTGTGTGGTCATTGTTTTCACTGTGTCTCATTACATACAGATATCTTCATAGCCTCCCATTAAAGAAGGAAAACAAACCAGCTGTGACTGAAATAAGTTGAAATTGACAAAAGTAATAATAAATAAAAATTTAATGAAAATCACGACATTGCTTTGAATTGTAGTTCAACAGAAATATTAAGGAAAAAACAAACAAACAAAAAAAACAATAAGCAAACAAGCATGATGGGACCCGTAAACTATTCTTTTATTGAACAACTCTTTGAGCCAATCACTGCAATCAAGCATTTTCTGTAACTCTCAATTAGACTTCTGCACCTGTTGACAGGTGTTTTGATCTCACTGCTCATCAGCTCATTGGCAAAGTGCTCTAATTTGTCCAGGACAGTTTTTCTTTTTTTTTTTTTAATTATTCTTTTCACCCACAATTCAAAAGCAATGCCTTCTTTCACTAAATTATAATTTAGCAATTTTTTATTTATTATTACCTTTTTCAGTTTCTACTTATTTGAGTGATTATTGTGAGTTTTGCCTTTTCTTTAATAGAAGGGTATGAATACATTTGAGGTCGACTGTATAAAGCATGTTTACCTACTAACTTATATAAAAGTACCCCCCCAAATAAAATAAAATAAAATAAATAGTTAAAATTGATCTCTTTTTTTGTTTGTTTTACTTGGAGCATATTTTGCATCCTAAAATATTTATACAAAAAAACCTCCTACCAATAAAGAGGAAATGCATCACACAGGTTTGAAGTAAAAGCAGGTAAGTTTTCTCATGAAAGTGTTATTTCACATTTGTCAGTTTGGTTTTGTTTTGTTGAAACACAAGCACTGGGAAGAGTTGCATTACATCAGACACAGGCTGGTTAACCAAAGCAACTCCACCTACAGATCTGCACCTCTTTCTTGCCGTGACAGCTTTGACCTTCAGTAGCTTTCTGGCTCTTTGACATTTTCCAATCAAAAGCATTTACCTTAGACCCAACTGTGGGACTGCCCCCCCTCCTCACTGCTGGCTGCTGTTTGAGGAAGTGCAGTTGTGTCGGCCCCTGAAAGGAGAAGTGACGCTTGATATAAGCGCACAGCTGCAATTGGTGGAATGTGAGTCACATGACTGCCACCCACTGGAGGTAAAGGTGTATCTTCGGGGTGTTTAGCTTGGGGTGGAAATTCCACCACCGCCTTGTCCAGTTAGTGAGATGCTTTTCAAGTAATTGTTCAACCAGCGCTGCAGGGGGAGGCTGCTCTGGGCTGTTGGGTTCTTTCAGTCGTGATCTGGAAGGGAATGAATGGTGCTTTGAGCTCTTGGAAAAGCTGAGGTTAAGATTTCTCTGTAACTGATGTGAGAAGCCTGATGTCGTTGGTTTTAGTTGTTTCATTTAAACTTTCATTTACTTTTGCTCCCCACAGTTATACCACAGCTTGTGATGTTATTGACATCATTCACTTTTCACAGAAGACTTCTAAAAAGAGATTCATTCACATTTATTTTGAAGAGCGTTAATGTGGTTCATTTAGATGGAGTTCAGGTCAGGGCTCTGTGCAGGCCAGTCAGGCTCTTCATCATAAACTCATAAGACCATTTATTAAGGACCTGAACAGAGAAGAGTCCTCCCCATAGACTCTTTAAAACTTGGAAAGTTAGGAGCACACCACGGTGCGATAACGTAGAATCATGTGCAGTAGCATTAAAATTTCCTGAACTGGCAACATTCTTCGTTAATGAGAAAACACCGGGTCTCTTCCTTTGCCGTGATGTAGAAAATCCAGTTGATTGCCCAGAGAACCAGACACATGATGTACAAACCAGTCCAGACAGCTATCAAACTTTTTGACAACAGTTGTGCATTTTTTTGGTGGAAATTACATTAATCACTGGACTTAAAGTTATTATGAACTTTGAGAATTCTGCAAATACTCGAACCCCTCGTCCAAACATTTCCTGGCCTTTCCACTGCTGTCTCCTTGTTTCATAAATCAGTCCGTACAGTTATATAAAATGTCTTCTTGGATCATCTTGCTGAGGATATAAAGACGTAAATCCCTACACGCTGTAACTTTCTTTCATTTAAATTTTGTTTGTCTTCATGTGCAAAGAAAATAGAACACAATAGATTACGTTGTGTTGCAATACAAAACAGTACATCAACAAGTAATTTCCCTTTTCTGTCCGCAGGTTTCATTTTGACAAAAAGACGCTTTCATTGCCTCTAAACTCCATGTTTTTCCTCTCAGGCTGCAGAGTGGGGTGAACCTGCAGGTGTGTTTTGTTAACGACAGCAGCAGTGACAAAGACAGCGATGCTGAGGACAGCAGGACAGAGACCAGTCTGGACACACCGCTGTCCCCTGTGGTATGCAGATAGTCTCTGTGTGTCAGTGTGCATGTGCTGTATGCATGTTTCTGTCATGTCCCACTCTTCACGTGTGTCGTCGTCACATGAGAGAACCACACTGGCTGTTGCATCATATAATTAATATTTCACTTCCTCTCCAGAGCAAGCAGAGCTCGTCGTTATCGGACCGGGACACTGCGGAAGAGGACTCGGATCCATTAGATGACTGCGGAGGGTTTTGGCGGGTGCAGCGAAGGCTGCAGGAGGAGGCCCGGGTGGCGCTGGCTCTGGCTCGACCTATGGCCCGAATGCAGGTGGAGGTGGAGAGACAAATCCAACTGCACAGACGATCCCCTGTGGCTGACCTGGTTAGTCAGAGGGACAGACAGCAGGGGGTTTATTGTGTGGAGCTCTTTACTCCTCCTTCCATAAAAGTTTCAATTTAAGAGATTATTCAGCACATTAAAAGATCCCTTCAAAGTGTGACAGGAAAATAAAGTTGGAATACAAAGCCTGTAAGCTTCTGTTACAGTAAACACAAGACAATAAGCATGACATAAGAGACTCACGTGGCGTGGCTGAAGGTCAGGAATCAGGCTTTTGTGTGTCTTTATCTATGTGACCATGAGAAAGCCCCTGAAACTCGCAAGTTTGTCCCACTGTTAATGCATAACCAGCAACTTCAAATCCACATAGACAGACCCGGTTCACTTTATTCATATGAATTATAGTCTTAAAACACATTAAAAAATGCTTTGCACATTTTCACACAGCAATTTCCTGTGTCTGTCTGTGTGTGTGTGTGTGTATATACGCAGCTTCCACATCTGCCCCACATCAGCGAAGGCTTAATGAAGAGGAATCTGAGGCAAGGAGACATGAGAGACATGAGTCTGGGACAGCTGCAAGTCATCACAAATGACTTACACTCACAGATTCAGAGTGAGTAGATCGCGTGCACACACGTAAGACACAATCATGGCGAGTATTAAACAAGTAAAAGGAACAAATCTCCTGAACTGTTCTCTCTGGATCTGGAGCTTCACGTCTCTGATCTTCATCCGCTGGCCTCACCGACACCAAAAAATATCTCTTGTTCTGTTCTATTGCTGCCCTCCATCGCCTGTCCTACTATCCCCACCCCAACCCCTCCTGTTATCCACACACACACCCCAACTGGTCGAGGCAGATGGGCCCGGTTCTGTCTCAGCATTTTTTTTTCCCCCTCCCATTGGGGGGTTTTTTTGGTTCCTTCCCACCGTTGCTGACTGCTTGCTCAGAGGAAGTCCAAAGGCAACTTTGAAGTTTTCTGTTTCAGTTCGTAAGGTCTTCACCTTACTACGTTACGTTATGTTACGTTACGTTACGTTGCTATGGGCGGCTGTGGCTCAGGTGGTAGAGCGGGTTGTCCACTGATGGCAAGGTTGGCGGTTCGATCCCCAGTTCCCCCCACATGCCGAAGTGTCCTTGGGCAAGACACTGAACCCCAAGTGGCTCCCAATGGCAGACTAGCGCCTTGCAAAGCGCTTTGAGAGCCGCAAAGGTAGAAAAGCGCTATATAAGTGCAGACCATTTACCCTTTACCTTAAGCGCTGTGAGATGACATATGTTGTAAACCGCACTACACAAATAAAATTGAATTGAACTTCTTGAACTATCCTCCCGTTGTTGTACCAAACCATTGTTGGCAGGTGGAACACATTCATCTTCATTTTCAGAATAAAAACTGTGATTTTAAAACACAATTTAGCTTATCCAAAGTATTCCAAAGTAGATAAAGGCTTCTTCTTCTTCTTCATAAAAAAAATATTTAATCAAATAAGTAAACCCTTCAGGAATGAGTTCAGTCACAACTCTATGTCGAGCTTTCTGACAGTTCAAAACATGAGAACGTTGGAGATCAGGCGCCTTAAAATCTCCTCCTCAGTAATGTATTCCCCTCTCTAATCTAATGCAGGTCTAAATGAGGAGCTGGTGCAGCTGCTGCTGATGAGGGATGAGCTGCATGTGGAGCAGGACGCCATGCTCGTGGACATAGAGGACCTCACCAGGTGAATATCCACCTTTTATCAATCTGCAAAAATTTATTTCAGAAATGCTGTCGGAGAGATGCAGCGAGTACAGCGAGCTGCGTTTGGAGCCGGACGGCATGTCCTGCGCTCACTCTGATGCACTTCTTGTCTCTGTTGTGACAGGCATGCACACAGCCATCAGCGGCACCAGGCAGAGAAGGCAATGTCTAAATAAACCCTCCTCCTTCCCCGACACGTCCACGTGTGTTTCTGTCTGCACGCCGTCCAAACTCCCACGAACTGTAACCAGTGTCGCTAACGAAACTCCATCCGTGCCGACTTGTTTCCGGAGAAATAAACACAGCGTCTAGTATTAACTCGCACATTATATGTTGCATCACAGATTTCAGCGTGGACACGGCTGAGCTTGTGCAGGCTTTTCACTTCCTCTCTGTATGATTTATGTCATGCTTCATAGTATTAGGGGGAATCCTCTTGACTTAATTTCATTCACGCACACTCATTTATGTTCAGGCTGGGTTGGAGAGAGCACCAGCACGCCTTGTTTTCTCCTTTTGTATCAGAAAAAAAGGGTTGAAGACCTCTATAAAAATGAGCCACACCTGAATGGAAATCAATCAATTATCCTTTTTGTTTGTCTCTATAATATCAAGAGGGTTGCTCGGTTCACCTGTGTATCATTGATTCCACTAAGAGCACTGTGTCTTTGTTGGTGTTCACTATCACACATCTAATATCTGGGCTGTTGCAATAGTAAATGACTTAGAAAAAAGATGCTGCAGCAGCTTCACAGAAATCACAAGAAATAATCATTTAGACACAGAATTGGATATAAGTATGTAGCTGCTACAGTTTCCACCTGCTTTAAAGATATATTTAGAGATTTACTGGACAGCATTTTGAGCTTTATTAAGGCGGATTTGTGTTTGTCAAGTGCGTTACAATACACCAAATGATGGAAGTTCAGACTTATTAAAGACGGATGAAGGCTGGAGGCATGGAGGCGGCCTCTTAATAAGAATATGCAAGGTCATTTTTTGTTAAGCTTAATTTACTAACGTGGAAAAAATAGGAAATGTAACACAAATATATCAGTAAATCACAGCCTAAGCGTATATCTATTTTATCCGTTTAAAAGGTTTATGGAGATGCCGTACGTAAAACGCTAAGATACTTTATTAAAAAGGGTGAGGAATATGCCTTGTTATGTTTCAGTGTTTTCACTCACAGCTTTTTAAGAATGTTATTTAACACAGAGTTTGTTTTTCTATTGGTTTGCTTTGTTGATAAATGTACTGTAAAATGATTGTAAAAACAAAAAAAGACAAAAATAATAAATGTTTCAAGTGTATGTGCCTGTTCGGCTGTGATTTCATTTGCATTTCTTTTCCAGAATTTGCGAACACGTACGTGTTCCACGTAAGTTTGATGTCACTTTACTTGGAAAGCAGCGAAACCGAGTGCCCACTTATGAAGATTTTTATCTCAGCGTGGCACAAAAAAGCTGCAGTCCAGTTCCTCTGCTCGTTCACACTTGTGTTGACGTAACTCGAGTTTTGTGGAAGACTGGTGCAAAGCGAGGGGGGAACAACTGTGACTGCAGGGACAAAAGCACCTGCTGCTAGATGTGATTGTGAACGGGGTAGCCGAGCCAAAGGGGGGGAAAACAACCTGATCATTCTAGTTAAAAATGTAAATTCTAATCATTCTTTCACACTTATGAACAAAATGAATCAATCGATACTGATGAAGTCTGATGGCTTCTCTGAAATTTTACATCATTTTGTTCTGAAGATTAGACGGTGAGCGGCAGATCTATAACGCAATAAAACACACCTGAGGACAGTTAAAATGTTATTTAAAGCCAAAAATCCTGCTCAATCTTGAAAAACAACAATTTCCTTACTGTAGAATATAATATTTAATAAAAATCCTCGTCAACTTTTAAAACCACCAGATCACTCTACATGTTGTGTTCCATCAGAAAGGTTTTTTTTCATTTTACAAATTAATTAAACTAACCAGTTATTCATTGGTGATATATTGGAAGTGTTTGCACAGGATTAGAGTTTTTTAATTTTTTTTTTAAAGCTTTCACTTTTCCCCTCTTTGGAAATATCAACAATGCTGTGATTGATGTGAAGCAGGCCTTTACTCTACTGGTGTCGGTGTTAATTCCAGTTTCACCAAAACATTTAGCGATATAGGAGGGAGGGGGGGAAGGAAATTACTCAACCTTGACTGTGCACTTTCAGTTTACAGTTAGGTGTCCACACATTGCCGCACCGTGAGGGAAATCCCTGCGTCAGTCTGGGTATAAAACACTTTAGGATGTCTGAGTTCAGACAGACACAGTCAAAGAATCTGAAGCAGCCGTGATATCCAAGATGCCACTCGTCAAGCTCTGTGAGTATAGACTTACTGACTTATTTCATTATTGTGTGAAGCTATGTGGGAGAGGAGATTGAAGCTATATCTTACTTTTTTTTTTGCTTTTAACCAGACTCCACTCCTGCACTGCTGCTGCTGCTGGTGCTCACCTGCTCTGTATGGGAGGTCAGCCGGTCTCTGCCAGTGAAGGGCAAAGAACCGATGACAGACTCTTGTGTTTTAAACGCACAAACGCTTCTACGCAGCATCACTGATGTGCTACACAACAGCAGTGATGGACAGGTACCAAATGAAATGAGGAGGAAAACTTACATACTCATTTTACTGATTTACATTCTGCTGATTAAACTCTCTTGTTGTGTTACAGAGAAACCTGTTCAGTGGAATCGACTGCATGATGCTGAACATGGAGCTGAACACGGAGACCAGCACGCCGTCCGTGTGTGCCCCAAAGGTGAACGCTCAAATAAATATTCTAAAATGAAGATCATTGATTACAGCATTCTAGTTTTATGTCCACACACACAGTGAGTATTGTATTTTTTCATAGCTGTGTCACTAATTACTTGACTGTGTTGGTCTCACAGGGATCAAAATGCTCTGGGAGCAATAAACTTGAATTTGATCAGGTAGGTTTTGCTGCGTCTGTGACAAAAGGAATCATTTACACATTTGAAATATGTTTTTAATATCATAAAAAGGTCAAGCTTTTAAGAGTACACAACATATCTTAAAGACAACGACTATTAAATGTTGTTTATTATGTGCTGTAACAATGGCTGCTTTTGCTATTTTTCATCTAGGATTCATGTATGATGAACATGAAGAAGGACCTGAACCACTACTACAGATTCCTCGCAGCTCATCCGGACCCAGACAGTTTGCTTGGTCCGACTGTTCTGCTCAGCCTCAGAGAGCTGATGGAGGTAGGTCATGACAGACAGTCGCTTTTAGTGTTATTTTAGCTCAACTTGCATCAGTGTTGTTAAAATTAACACTTGCTGTTCAATAAAGTCACACTCTACAGGCTTCTTTTTCAGCTACTAGACTTGTACAATAAATTCAAACATATTTTAAAAGGAAAAAAATCCCAAACTGCCCTTTTATAATGTTTCTATTCATGTAAAATAAAACATAATCCTTTGCTGTTGACAGACCTGCTTCAAGTTGCCTCTGCCGGCAGATTTACAGACGGTAAGAGCTCTACTAAAGTACATATGTCATTCTTGAAGGTCTGATTTCACAGTTGTACACATTGCTAAAAAAGAAAGAAGTAATATTCTGATTGTCAGGGAAACACAAATTAAACAGATGCTCCTGCGTGTTTCTTAAAAGGCTGCTGCGGGCCGTGGGAGCACCTACGAGGAGAGACTGAGCCTGTGCAAAGTGCTGAAGGGCTTCCAGGTCCGCGCCATCACCATCAACCGAGTCATTGGATACATGACCTCCGGTGAACACACTAACTGAGCTCCGACACGAGAATCATCTGGAAGCTACGTAGAACCACTTTACACGCAAATGACATAAACTACAGTAACGCTTCACGTTACGTTTAAATAGTCTCTGTTATGACAGAAAACACTGAAATCTGCTTAAGAATTGTTTTAAGGGTTCATATTTATTCTCTTTATATCAGTATGGAAATTCTATTTAACATCCAGTGGATGTGTGAGAATACATTTCTTTTTTGAAAGTGTATTTAAACATGATATTTATTTATTTGTTTTATTCTGGACTATTTATTTCCAACTATTTATTGTGATGTCATCTATTTGGTTCTAAGAATCATCAAATAAACATCTTTCTTGCATAATACCTGCTGATTTATGACTTGTTTGTTCAATGCTGTTTATTATTTTCCACATTAATTTAAAATATATACATTCCTGTTAGATGGTTTGAAGTCATCGCCTTTCTATGAGAGTAATCTAATGGGATAATTCATAGCTATGGTGGGTACAACAACATCTGTGATTTACAGGAAAAAGTGAATTTGCCAGCATTTTCCTGTAACCAAGCCAGGCCTGCAAACCCAACCTGAGCAAAGTGGTCGATACGAGCAGAGTGTAAAAGTTTTTGCTCACACTTCATTGGGAAAGTCCGCTGTGATAAAGGGCTGATTGTAATAATGTCAATAAAAAGGTGTGTTTTGATATTTAGAAGGATGTGAAAGCCAATCAAAAGACTGCGATTAGACTTTGGTTCTTCAGCAGTCAGAATAACTTTACGATCGGAGTCATAGAAAGTCAGCAGAGAGTCGCCCACACTGCATTTATAAGTTTACAGCCTGCAGAGAATTAAAAGAGGAATGTCCAGTGGTGATGGAAATACTCACATCCTGTACTTGAGCAAGTAGAGATACCACACTGGAAAAGCACTATGGTGCAAGTAAAAGCCCTGCAATGGAAAATAAAGCCCAAGTAAGTATTATTTAAATTTTAAAAAACTCAATACAGAAAAATGCCCCCCTGTAAAAATCACACTATTAAATATTACATCCTTAAATCAATGTTTATGCATAGCTGTAAAAGCAGGATTTTACTGTACTGATCAGGATTTTTCGTGCACTTTGCTGATGTGGAACTTATTTAGAAATGCTTTGTACCCAACTGTAACTAACAATTGCTTCCATAAAGACTTAATCTATTTATTATTTTCTATTAATCGACTGATGGTTTGTGAGAAACCTCAAAATAGTGAGAAACGCTGCCACAGTTGCTCTAAATGGTTATTTTTATATCTCAAAATGTTTTGTGTGCAAAATCTTATTTTGTAAAGATGCAGCAAAGTATTCAGACGTAAGTGAAATGAGAAAGTACTCGTACTCGAGTGAATGGACTTATTATATTCCACCTCTGGGAATGCCCAGATACATTTTCTTATTTCGTTGAAGACTTTCAAGCGCATCTCCTCACGTGTTTCAACTCATATTCAGAATACAGCAATGCAACAGGAGACAGCTGGTTATTCCTACATGTCATCACAGGATTTTTGTTTTTGATCATCTGTGTGTAGTTGTGTCTTGATTTCTCACCATTTCAGCCACAATATTCGTTACCAACAACAACAAACGATTAGAAATCTGGATAAAATGTTTAGATGCCACGGTATCCTAATTTCTCTCCTGAAATTAGATGTTCAGCTGATTACATGTGCAACCCACAAACAGGATGCTGAAAAATTCATAACTAGGATACTCTTAATCCTGTTCAGGACTTTTGAGGCGACAGGTATTGTGTTTTTTTTTTTGTTTTTTTTTGAAGATTTATTGTTTTTTAAATCTAAAAAAAGGGACACTTGTCATCCATTTGGAACCAAAAATACGCCAACTTATCAGAACATTTGTTTAACATAGTATAGAAGTCTAGAATGAATACCAACACATATTTTGCACACATTCTTTCTTGGGGTCCAATAGACCCTGAAAGACCTTCTACGTATGGCAACGGAATGGAAAGTCCTGAATAGGGTTAAATATGTAAAAACTTGGTCAGCCCGGTGCCCGACACTTCCAGGTGAACGTTGCGTAGGTTCGTTGTGGCAAATGATGTTCTGAAAGGGCAGGTAAACGGTCCTGGTTTATTCATAAAACCGTACTGAAAGTGAAATCTAGCTTTTTGTTTCAGTTTGCTTGCCTTCCGTGTTTGCTGGAATTGGCACAATGGATATTTGTGGCTGCTGAGGCTGAGAAAAACCTATGAGCTCACAGAAAAACATGTGAGAAAGCTTAAAATTAAAAAAAAAAAAGAACCAGACACAAATACGAGAAACAGTGAGAAGGATAGCTGAATAAATGAGATCACAAGATAGGTATCTGTGGGCACAAACCATTGGAGCCACCACATGAGTACAAAGATTTATTATTATCTGATCTTTTATCTTGCCTTTCAGCTATTTATTTTTATTTATTGCTCCACTCATTCATACATTTTACTCCCCTCTGTCTGTCTTTCATGACTTCGCTTTTCTATTATTGACTAATTTTTGACTTATCATGCCTCCGCTGTTTCCTCATTGCATTTCTTTATTTATATGAACGTTTTCTCACTTCCTCAGTCTGCTGTTATCGAGTTCTTCATTTATAACGTCTGCAGGAGCAGGGAGGGGCTGAATGAGTGGCGGGGGTGTTATGTTTAGTGGGTTTTTTTTATTCATTTTGCTCTGTAAAACACTTCCATTTGCATGAAAAGTGCCATTCATTAGTAGAGATCTAGAAACCTGAATGTAGCCTGAGAGTCAAAACCCAGGGCCCGGAAAGCTTTCGAGGCACCCTGCTGCTCCTAAAGATGATTAATATCATACTTTTTTTTTTTTGTGGTAAATTTCATCTCACCGTGGAGTTTTTCTTCTGTTTTCAAATCATTCACTCATCTGTCACCGAAATGTTCCGGCTAAATTTAACGACTAAACATCGGTGAAGCGCACAAACAAACCTCAAAACAAAACCAGACACATGTTTCTAAACTAAGGATGAGTCATTACCAAACTACAACTAACCAGTTGAACTCACTTCACTCGGTTCATTTGATGAAGTCATGCAGCTGTAGTGCCACCTAGTGGGGGGGTTTGTTATGGAAAACTTAAAATATAGAAAGCTACCATCTATTGGTGTGAATTAAATGCATGAACCAAAGGAAGTTAAGGTTTTCTCTGTGGACTCATGAACACGCAGGTTCAGAGGAGCAGCTGCCATCAGACAAACTCTGCGCTCAGGTGTGCTCGAGGGCCTCAATCACTCCCAGCTGCGGTGATATTTCCAGCAGGTGGAGGATCTCACCATTCCTTCCTAACCTGCCACAAGAATGGACCTGCAACAAATCGTTCCTCGGTGGATTATCATGTATGCGTTTTGCTCCGTTTGCACGCTCACAGACGGCCGGGTGGTGTACAACCTGCAACCCACAAACTCCCTGCAGCAGCAGAGCGCGCAGCTCAGCGTGCGCCCTCGGCCCGTCGAGGTCCGGTGCCATCCCGACTCCATTGAGGTGGTGGTGCAGGCTGACATGTTTGATACAGGCCTCCGGGTGGACGGAAGGTATCTGCGGTTGGGCACGGAACCGGTGAACTGGGGGAGTGAATGCGCAGCTGTGTCGTCAGGAGAGGCAGAGTTCACCATCCAGGCCCAGCTGATGGACTGTGGGACCAAACTCTCTGTAAGCAAAGGGCTCGTTTTTAGTGGGATGCAGCTCAAGTGTAGTCATTAAAAGTTGGTGAAATTCATCTTTGTCTTTTCTCCCAGTCGACAGAGGAGAAGATAATCTATTCTAATGTTCTGGTCTACTCACCTGAACTTTCGTCTAATGATTTGCTTAGACTGGATGGAGCCTCTGTTCCGATTGAATGCCATTATGAAAAGTGAGTCCTGCACATTTACAACATTGTGCACTGTATATTTCAATATTTTTTTTTTTAGATTCATGCATGAATATATCGATAAACAGACAACAGATTGATATGTTAAATATTATCTGAAAGCAGTAACTGAGAATAACCAGAACATGTCAGTCCCCTTAAATAAAACTGACGTTACAAGGCAAATTTTCACATCTTTCTAAAAGATGAAACCATTAATTTAAATTATAATACTGTAAGTTATACACGAACCCTAAAGTTGGGTACAATGAGTGACGATTAGGAGGGAAAATAAATGGTGGTGCTGCAATTTTACATAGATTTCTTTGTTAAATGGGAAATATCTTGTATAATGACACTAAAGTTTGCACAACACACAATGTCTCAATGCATTTTTGTATCTGTTGCTCCATCAATTTTTTTTTTTCTCTCCCCATGTAAACATTAACAAGTCAAAAGGCTAGAACATGTGCAGAGATCAGGTTCTTATGTTTCCTACTGGCCTATTTGCATTCATCTCCTTTGCATATCAGTGCTTAGCTTTGATAAGAGCTGGTTTTAACAGGCTGATTTGCGTCTGTTTTCAGGAAGTACTCCGTGGATGGCGTGTCCCTGCATCCCACCTGGATTCCTTTTGTCTCCAGGACAGCAGCAGACAATCAGATAGACTTCAGTCTGCTGCTCATGACTGGTATGACAAAGATGGCACCGGTGAAGCTTCTTATTCTGTCTTCATGCAGCTTCAGAGGAATCATGTGCAACATTACTGAGAGATGCTTCACTCTGAAGGTGCCTGATTCAATTTATACTTATTTAAAGATTAGAATTTTCATATTTGTCATCTTTGCAGATGATTGGCAGTTTGAGAGGGGATCTCCTACGTACTTCCTGGGTGACCCCATTCATTTCGAAGTCTCGGCCATTCTTGGTAACCACATGCCCCTGCGAGTGTTTGTTGACCGTTGTGTTGCCACAGCAACTCCTGATGCAGAGGCAGCTGTAAGATACGACTTCATTGAGCATCATGGGTGAGCTGCACAGTCAAACTGTCCATCCTGCAACAATCAGAAAAGGACAACTGATGTGAATGACGAGTTTTGTTTTTTAACTTACAGGAACTACACTGAAATTGTTTTCTCTCTTTGCTGCTTCAACAGATGTCTTGCTGATGCTTACCTGACCAACTCCAACTCGCGCTTCCTGCCAAGAGTTGAGGAGCACAAGCTGAGATTCCAGCTTGAAGCCTTCAGGTTCTATGAAGAACCCAGCAATAAGGTGGTCTTTGTTTTCTTTTAAGTTTCTACGCAAGTTGCACTGCAAAAAAATATTTTAAAAAAAAAGTTTAAGTGTCGTTGTTTGAACAGTTTACTGGCATTGAAAAGATGTTTCTTTGTTGTGATTAGTAAAATTGTGGGAAAAATTATTAATTCAAAACTGTAAATAATATCCACATCAAAAATCTTTTCTATAAATGCCAAGTTATTCTTTTAAAATATTTGACAAGAAAATGACCCTATTTTACTGTATTTAAATCAGCAAAGCATTTTATTCTACAAATATTGAAATCAAGGGATTGAATGAACTGATTTTCTTAAATGTGTTAAATCATAGATAACTTGAAGAGAAAAAAATAAAAGCATTACATTAGATGTTGACTGTAAAAAGATTAAAGTATTTGCAAAACTCTGTTTGTGCAAGGAGTTATTTGTTCTTTTAAAGTGTGAGAGCACGATGTTATATTTAAATCAGCTAAATGTTTTACAGATATCCGCTGTTCTTTTCAGTTCAGAACATTGTATTTCACTGTTTAACACATTTTATTTGACGCCTTGCTGCTAGATTGTCATGGTTTTGTTTAGTTACTTTTTTTTTTTTTTTTTAATTTTCGTGAGATCAGAAACAGCTGTTTGTTTGTATTTCACTGTCCTCTATGTCTGCCACAGGTCTATATAACCTGCTACGTGAAGGCCGTCCCAGTCAAGGTGGCTGTCAGCTCCCATAACAGAGCCTGCTCTTTGATTGACAACAGGTATTATTCTAACGATGCAGCAACTTTATAGTCAGTGAAACTCCCAAGTATTACAGTCAGTGGGTGATTTTTAGGAAGGCTGCCATCCCCTGGTTAGAAAAATAACCAAAATACGTCCCACCCAATGTTTTGTGAAAATCCTTTAATCTAATGTTCAAGGATATTTCTTGTTTCAAATAATGCTCCCATAAAGTTAACTAAGACTTAAAGTTTGAATTGGAACGTTCCGAGGATGTTTTCAGATTAGTTTACAAGACAACAAAAGAAAAACATTCTCAAACTTACATTTAAAAAAATGATGTTTTAAAGATGTTTCCAAGGCCTCAGATGACAGAATGTTTTGTGTGAAATGTCCCTGCAATGTGATATTAAAGGTAGAAGCATTTCCCTGCAATGTTTTTAGGATGTTTTGGGGATGTTGTTGAGATAACACATAGTGAAACATTCTAATGATAACCAAAGAAGGATGTTTTCAAAGCAACTTCTGGCAAATGATTTTAGATTTTTTTTTTTTTGACTATCTTTAGAGAACTGTGTCCTAATGCACATATTTCAAAGAAGAGATTTCAAATTAATATACATCCATTTTAAATGCCTCTTTCTCCAGATGGCGGTCGATCGATGGGAACGACCAGGCCTGCAGAAGCTGTGATGTCTCCCATCGGAATGAGGAGCCTCCGTCCACGCCTCCTCCTACAACTACCAGGAGCACCAGAGCATGGCCAACCACCGCTGCCCGGGAAAGTTTAGATCAGAACGGAGCCGAACATCTTCCAGCCACGTACATCCGTTTCCGTCCGGGAATGCACCAGAGCCGACTGGGTAAATTAATAAAGAGAGGAGCGGACCACGAAGCAGGTGAGTCGGATTAGATTAGATATAATTTTGGATGGATGCTGCAGTTCAGTATACCCTGTCTTACTCTTAACAAACTGTTTTTAACTATCTTACCACATTGTGATTATTATTTAACTTCTCCTCACTTGAGAAACACAAACTATAGACTTCAAAAAAATCAGTTATTTGAACTTTTAATGCCACTGACGGAGAGCTTTCACGTTTTGAAATGAGGCATGTGATTTGATTTTACAGATCAAATTGTCCAACTGGGTCCCCTTACTGTGCTGCCCTCCGGTAAACTTCTCACAAGGACAGACGTTTCCAAAAAATTACTTTCTCCAAAGAACAAGACGTCCTTATCCTGGAATAAGGTGACTGGAGAGTGGCGAGGATAGAAAAAATAGAAAACCTCACTGCTGCCACATACAGAACAAACACGTTTTGGACACAATAGACAACCCTGTGAATGCAGAGATTAACCTCGTCATTCAAATCCCATCTCACCTGAAATAAGTGTTTTTTCCCATTAACATTGTCAACCATCTTCAATGGAACAATATTAATCATTTTCCATTCACTCCAAAATAAATTTGTCGCGGTTTAGTTCTTGCATTTTCTGTACAAATGGCAAATCTCTCTTCCAGTAAATATTTTACTACATTAAACGTGCTTTTTTTTTTTCATTATTATTTCAGCTGCTTTTACACAAAAACCCAACATCCTGTATTCTTTCTCTGTGAATCTGATATGGCTGCAGCGAGAAATTTAATTAGCATTGGAGTTTTTTATGCACTCAAACTCATTAGAGGCCAGCAGCAGCAGAAGCGGATGTCAGAGTGATGCATTGTTTGTGTACTTTCAGACAAACACACAATGCATCCTTCTGACAGCTGTAAAGATTCGGATCACATCATACCAGCTATTTTCAATTCAGGAGATATGCAGACATGCTATTAGGGAGCACTTCCTTCCATTACAACCCACAACCTACTCATGTAGTCATTTTATTGATTATCATTGTGAAGGGTACATGACGCAATATAAAATGTTGGCTTTGCCTGCCACTTACAGTAAACCGATTAGTCACCGCTTTCTGTTGCAAACTGGAAACTTGGCGTTTTCGGACTGTTTTTTAGTGATTTAACACAGATTAAAATTGTATTAAAGCAGTTGTATAGCTCATTGTTGGTGAGCAAAGTTGTGCTTCTTTGGCTCCCCGTTGACAGGGCCAGCACTTTGCACTTATGGCATCACAAACACCGATCAGCCTAAATGGACGTCCACCGAACCATCGCATCCTTTTAAGGGATGACCTGAGCTGACCCCTGAATGTACACGAAGCAGCACTAATCTTGCAAATGGAACTTCTCTGCGCTCTTGCCAGCTACTGCATTGATTCCAAGTTATTTGGGTTTCGTTGTGTCAGCACCTCGGACAGCTCCTTGCCTTGTTTTTTGGGCGTGTTGAACGCTGTCCACGGTGCTGAAACATCCAACACAGGTTTCCACTGGTCACCTGGATTAATGCCCCCCCTCCCATCCTCAGAGTTCAGGGTGAGAGGAGTCATTTCTCAGTGTTTCCAACGCGACCTGTCGATTTCTTGGGCGCCTGTTTGCTTTCATATGAAATGAATGTAAGTATGTAAGACTGTGTTTACGAGTTACATCAATACACCCGTTAAGTGCATAATAAATCAGGGGTTCACTCAGGAGTTAATATCAATCTCATTATCATATTCAGAGCCTGTGCATCCAGCTGCATGCTTGTCCCCAGTTGGAGAGCGCGTATTGTGCAAACATATGGACTTCAGATTGCTGGCTTTCCCTTCCTTTTTTTCTCCCCCAAGTTTTTATTTGCTTTCTGAACATGCGATGCGCTGATGATGGGTCTGCGTCAGCGTCCAAACCCAGGCGTCTTTCAGCGCATTAACCACACGTGAATCGTCTCGCCTACATCCTGTTTTTCCAGCGACGTTCACCGGATCGCTTCATCCACAGCAGCAAACCATGTTTTCCCACAGATGCCAAGCCCTGGCTGTGTTCACAGTTTGCCTCCTTGCGCGCACAGTCGTGTATTCCATCCAGAGATGCGGGAAGGACCTTTGCCGGGATGACGAGATCTGCTGCGCGCAAGGAAACAACACCACCGCGGTCACCTGTTGCAGGCAGTTCGTGGACAAGACTTACTACAACATCGCCATGGTCACCCGGAAACTTTCCGGGGTGCTCATTATGCTGCTCCTCTTCGCGGTGGGGTACTTTGTGCAGAGGCTGCTGTGCTCCAGATCGAGGCAGCTCACCCCGCCGCAAAACGGACAGCCGCCTGTTACCGCGTCACAGGAGATGCTCATGGAGAGCTGCACCCCGGACAGCTCGGTGGATGCAGCTCCTCATCTGCCCACATACGACGAATGCACACGGCTGCCGGCGTACGAAGGGACAGCCCGGGACTGGAGAACGCAACGGCCGATGTCTAGCGTGGCGCATTCTACATGACGGCAGTTGGATAAAGTGGAGCTCATGGCGCTTTAGATTAGATACTTGTGATCGTCTTTTACATCGTTATTGTGGGAATTTAGAAAAAAGGAAAATCCTACACAGAGCGCACAGGACGTTGTCTGATGTGTTTTCTCTGCAGCCTGATGTTTTCACTCACTGTTTTACCGCTTTGTTGCTCCAGTTGTTCCAAGGAATGTGTTTCCAAGCGAGTTCCATTCTCTCATAAAGGCACCTTGGCTTCACAAATGTTAATAAATCATCTAATGCTTTATAGATCAGTGAAAAATAAGATCATTGGAGTTGCTAAGTATTTTTGGCTGGTGTGCAATTATCCCCAGTACGACCTTTGCTTTGTGTTTTGGCTCTTTATTTGATCAGGAAATAATAAACCAACCTATTACCAAACTCAACTGCAGCCTTCATATATTTTAATGAATGTGAATTTGCATTTCGTAAAAGGTTATCAGCATGTATAGCTTGTTTACAACCAACTATGGCCGCAGGTTTATTGCTCATATTTCTGATACTGTGATGTTTATCTGTGAACCCATGGGTCATAACTGATAGACATGTCTGAAAGAAGATATGAATATGCAAACTAGTGTAGTTATCGTACAGACAACAGTGGTTTTAATCCACACTTGCATCTTTCTCCATCACTCATTACTTGCAAACTAATATAGCTTCAGCTGGGTGCGCACAAGAATCACTTAACAATGGAAACGTATCTTAAAAGTCAGATCTCTTTGAAAAGTTGGAGTTTAAGTTTAGAACAAACACAATGCATTCATCATATTGTCAGTGGTTTGAAAACGGCTGATTTCTTTTAAATTAATCTTAACGTTTGGTAGTCGTTCTGAGGTAGTGCACTGTGTCCTTGATGTTGTCTTTCACTGCACCAGGCTCTGACGGGAGTTTGACCATTTGGACCACTCTCCTGAAGCCCTCCTCAACTCCAAATCCAGTCGTCGCGGAACAAGGCTGAACGAACCAGTCCCGCCCTGAGCACATCTTCCTCAGGTTGAATCTGTCTTTGATTTCGGTGACCGTCAGGGCGCCGTTCACGTCCTGCTTGTTGGCGAGGAGGATCAGCGGTCGGCCGCGCAGCAGGCTGTTCTTCAGGGTGTTCTCCAGCTCCCGGCACGCCTCTTTCATACGCTCCCGGTCGGAGCTGTCCACAACGAACACAATCGCCGCGGTGTCCTGGTAGAACTTCTGCCAGTGTTCGCGCATCTTCCCCTGACCGCCGACGTCCCACACGGTTAAGCAGATGTTCTTCCTGTTCTTTTTCGCGTCAATCATTTCCACGTTGAAACCGATGGTGGGAACGGTGGTGACGCACGCGTCGTGTTTCAGTTTGTAGAGCAGAGTGGATTTTCCAGCGTTGTCCAGACCCAGAAGAAGGACTCGGACTTCTGGTTGAGATACCCGCTGTCCCATGGCGGCGTGGATACAGAAGGGACAAGTGGCACAGTCACATCTTTTACACAGCAGGCCACCTTTTTGACGCAGTGTTTGTTTAGTGCGTTGCCCGGAGTTTAATAGATAAACCATTAGCTCCATGCTGACAACCCACTGTTGACCGATAAGGGCCCACATCAGGGGGCAAAGTTTGCGCCTGAGACTCTCCCTTGTTCCACACTTTTATTGCTACTATAAAACTATTTCTTCCATTCATTCCACACTGCAGTGCATATTTCTTATCACAAATGTTATCCCAGGATATTTCACTGGCCTAGGCCTGCACTCTGCTACAGATTATGAATCACAAGCAGAGTCTGAATGTTACATAATTTAAATAAAATCAAATTGAGCTACTCAATTAAAATACTGAAAGAAATATATTTTTAAAAAACTGCTACTTGAGTTTTTTTTCCTCATATATTTTCCATGATGCGCAATGCATTTGATACATACGAGACAGTGATCATTTGGTAAGAAATTTTAATCACATATTGTTTTAAGAAGACAATAAACACCCATAGGTGACCATCGTTGCGTAAACAAGGTGCACAGTAATGAAGAACACCAGCCAAAGAAAGAAATGTAGTTCCTCACTGAACCAAAGACAACAAAATCAGTAGATGTTCATTTTTACGCACAAACAATCCTTGTAGTCAATTCATCACCTGCTAGAAACGTTAAATGCCAGGTGGATGTTGCGCACATCACAGGTACAAGTGTCTTCCTCTCACAGCTTTATGAATGTTTCCACAGCTTTTAAAAAAACAAAAGGAGCTATAAACAGGCTGCAGCTATGACACCCTTCACATACCGAGACACATTCAGGACATTCGGCCCTGGCCTTAAATACGGATCGACATTCACCCGCAGTATATCACATTAAAAGCATCATGTCTTACAAAAAATGATTTTAAAACATTTATTTGTGCCAGAGTATCACATATTTTAAAAGTCAAATAAAAGGGAAACAAAAATAAATCAAGGTTGGTCAGCCACTGGAACGGTGCAGATTTCACCTTGGCACAGTTCACCAAACTGGTACAGCTGACTTAGTCCAAGCTCCCTTCTTTTATTTGAGCTACTTCTTATCATTCAGAAAATATTTTCAAAAAGACACTTTTACAACTTGCTATTACAGACATAATTGCTCACAATCGAGTCGGAAATAATTCAATGGCACAATGTTTTCAAAGAAAACAACCTTAATGCGCTCAAAGCGACTCTTCACCTTCTCTCACCGTCTTCTCTTTCAGTCTGACACTGAATATATGAACGTCTCATCTAAAGAAACGAAATTCATTGCAGTGATCAGTCCAGCAAACTCTTCCACATCTCGGAAACCATTTAAATCCACCTCAGCTCCACACGCTCTGCGTGGATGCGCCATGGAGGTGCATCTTAGCGCATCAACCCAAATCGGTGGCATCTGCTGCCCCGGAGACGCCAAAGGTCAAGGGCACAGAATGCATCCGGTTACAGGATGCTTGACTGATTCCTCAGCTTAAATCGGTTGCACATCACACAAAGATTTTATTTTTGTATCAAGATCTGGACCATTTCTCTCCGGGCTTCACCCACACACCGCCGGTCGGGTTATCCATCACGTACACCAGTTCCTCGGCGTCACAGCGACTTTGTGGCCAAGAGTGGGTTGTGGACTTCTCCGTTGCCCGGGCGGAGGAGTGAAGACGGGGCGACTGGTTGGTCACCTTCTTCTGAATGCGGACAACAGACGCTGGAGTGGAGCATGGATCGGTTTTCTGACACACGTCCGCGGCGCCAACACGCAGGAAAACCACTCGGGCTTCGATGGAGGATTTGGAGCCGTGCTGTCCCATGTTGTTTGGAACTTCAAAATACTTCTTCTAAAAGATCCGGAGTTATTCAAACGAAAGCAAAAGCAAAATAGTAATATTCTTGCTTATGTCTGAGTTGGCTGGTTGACACGTTTCTTCCACTGTTGTCTAAAGCGCACTTGTCTCGCTTATAAGGTGCCAAATCCGTATAAACCAGGGTGATGTGTTCCCGTAAGCCTGAAGCGTGACGCACTTGATATTATGGTCACTAGACACCAAAATGTTGCAGCACTGGTCTTGAGAATTTGGACCAGCTCATGTTCGAGCTATTCTGAGACTCTCCACCTGGTGCAGACTGTCACAAACCCGAGCGTCACCGAGCGAGTGCGCGCTCCTGGTGAAGGAGGCTGCAGCGGGGTGCAGAGCGCAGGGAAGAGTTACGGCATGGAGAAATGCTATTTGTGGTCCTGCGGAAGCATCCCAGAACCTCTTTGAGGGTGTCACGTGTTTTCCCCCAAACTCACAGTGATCTCACCACCCCGAGCTTTGGCGATTGTTTGGTGATTTATAGCAAGCAGTTTGCGCGCAAGTTGTGCTTGAACAAGAACACACGCGATCGAATTCCTGGAGAGGTGATAAAGAAAGCAGGAAGGAGGGGAAACGATTCCCACTTTCCTATGCATCTGTTTTTGTTGTGCCCTTGAGCAAGGCATGCAAGACTCAAGGGCTCCAAGACAACTGTTCAATAGGGTCAGCAACAGGTGTGGATATGTAAAATGCACCTGATATATATGTAAAAGTGTGGATTTTTTATTCTAATCTACATATAGGTCTGCTATATATCCTTGACCCCTTCAGTGAGGTGAGTTGGCGTCTCTGTTGTGCCGTTGGGGGGCATTTTGCTGGCAGGATTTGGGTGCACTTGGCCCCTTCAGAGGGAAGAGTCACTGCAAATGAATGCAAAGTTGTTGTGGCTGATCACGTTTATCCTGATGTGAGTGATCTCCTCCAGGATGACAAAGCCCCCATCCACAAGCCAAGAGGAGCCACTGAATGGTTCGACAAGCACGAGAATGATGTGACTCATGTGCCAAGGCCTTCACAGTCACCAGATCTCAATCCAACCGAACACCTTTGGCGGGCGGTTTAGGACCACCATGTAAGGCAACGCTTGGTACCGCCATCATCCAAGCATCAAATAAGGGAATGTCTTTCGAAAGAATGTCGTTCTATTCCTGCAGTGGAGTTCAGAATTTTGGAAGATCGGTGCAAAGGTGTACTGTAGGTGGTCTGCAACATGTGGTAGCACCGTATGTAGACACTTTATGTTGGGTTTTCCTTTAATTTGTCACTCCTCCATGTGTCTGTACAGAAAACAACCTAAAGCCAAGAAAGTAATTTGCAAAAGGAACCTTGAAAATAATCTATTTTTTTTGCAATGATCAAACTGATGCACTGAACATGCTGCACAGTTAAGGCAGGCCAAAGTGAATTGCCTTTCCAGATAATAAAGACTGAAAGGGGATGTACAGTTCAGATGAAAGAGTTTGTTTAATACTTATAGTTTACATACAGCAAGTTGTTGTTGTTGTTTTTTGTTTTACACTGAGCATCCACTGAACCTGTATGAATCATGGACTGCTTCCCACAGTAAAGTGATGGGTATTTATTTTATTGTAAACCTCTGCTCATGTACAGAAGGACAAAAAAAGAAAAGAATATACAGTATACTGATTTGGCAATCTGCCAGAGACATCCAAAAACTCAATAATAAATAAGGCATTAGGTTAAAAAAAAAAAAAGATCTTATCATTTCCCTCAGCTGATGAAAGGTCATGGTACACAGTGGTAAAAGTTGAACTTAAAAAACAGTAGTAAATCAAGTATGGTTTACTGTAACTTTCCTTGACAGGCTGTTGCTGTCGATGACGCCAGTTGTATTGCTTCAGGAGCAGATCGTGTTTCTAATTACTCGCATTCTGCCTGCAGCTGTACAGTTCGTACTGAGTCATCTTTTAGTTGGTTTCTCATGGCAGAAGTGCGTCTGTTGTCGGTCGCACGTCCTGTTTTTTTTTTTGCGTGTGCTTCCCAGGTGGAAGGCAGCCTCCGGTCGCCGCCGATGCACACTGTGAGTACTTTGTTCATGAACATGGATAAGCCAAAGCACATGCCCTGATACAGACGGTGCAAAAACCACTTTGATGGAACAGTTCGCATTAGCTCCATAAACTTGCAGAGAGGTGAGTTTTTTTTTTTAAGGTTCCAAATCAGGTTCTACGTACTTAAAAACCCTCTTGCATTAGATTGGCTGATATGTAAGAATTTATCATTCCAAAAAATAAACATTTGAAAAGTGCATTTATCATTTTTTTTTCAGAACTGTGTGTGTGTGTGTGTGTGTGTGTGTATTTGTGTGTACATGTGTGTGTGTGTTGCAGGTTGAAGGAGCATCACACCCTTAATTTCCTTTTTGAGTACAACACACCTTCTGCAGACTTGAAAGACGACGAAGTTTTGGCCTACGAAGAGTTTTGGTGTTGTTATCACTCTTTGCAATGAAATGACAATATCCACAAATCGTTCTGTCAGAGATCCTTCACTGAGAAACGCCACTACAATGGTTCCACTTTCCTCTTTGGTTCTGGGCCCATCAGTTCTACTCACATTAACGACAGCCGGCTTTCTAGCTGTGCACAGCTCAGCAGACATTATATATTAATTATTCCACATAAGTTGTGCACATTTCAGCAGAATTACAAACGGGAAAACTGGGAAGACCTACGATGAATAATTAAATATGCATTAAATCCAGCCATTAACATTTCATTAAATCACTAATATTACCATTTACAAATTCTATTTCCTTGCCATCTTTTTTGAACAATACATTTGGGATTAAGTTTTAAAATAAAGTCCCTTAAAAAGTCTTTTAAATGTAGATTTTTGTTATTTCAACATCTACCGTCTGTCATGTTCTCACAGTTACCCGACTTACAACATTTACACTTTCTACTTTTTGACTGTCTGTATATGATGAAAGGAGTTTTTTAGTTCAATTTAAAGATGCATGAAAAAAAGTATGCCACTTAAATATGAACTAATCCCACAGAGCAGTGATGGCAGCTCTGATATGTCAAACTGCATGACAGCAAATCAATCAGAGCTTCTGCTCTTTGACTCCACATTTAATCTTCCTTTTCCCACTGTGATGACTTTTACGATCCGTTGCACCCCGCAAGAGTTGAAGCCAAACTCAGCCGAAATACAAAACGCCTCTCAAGTCTACAGAAGTGTTCTATACTCAGAAGCTAGATTTGGGTGCAGCATCACTTCAAGTTAAATAAAAGGTAAGGATCCACTGGGGTCTTCTTATGTTTGACAAATTGATTTTTCCTGCTCAGAAATAGACGCATACCATACTTTAGAGCATCCTCGAAACGCAGCAAGCTGGGTGGTGTTTTTGCAATTGCATTTTCAGAAACGTCCTGTAAGTTGCACAGTAATTCTTGAGTAGGCACGAGTTGAAGCCTCCCCTGAAGAAGCCGCCAGTGGAGCTGTACCATTCGTGTGCATGTACAGTAAACAGTAGTTAAGCAATCACAGTCTGGTGTGTGCTGGTTAAGAGACAAATCCCCCAGTGTGTCGCAGCCTTCAACGTCTGTACTTTCATGTATTCGTCTTTCTTCTAGCAGACGGTTATAATATCTGCATTGTTTTTAAATGCCCTTTTCTCAATTTAAATAGAATAAAACAGACCCTCATTTTTACGTGTGTGTGTGTTTGTGTCTGTATGTGTGCGTGCAGTTCTCATTGTCCATCTTCTAACTTCCCTTCATCTTCCTGTGATTTTGTACTTTCTGCTTTACCCAGAAGATGGGGAAAAATCATACTGATCAGCGCTAAACCAGACCCTCGCCTACTCCCCCGCCTTGCTGCTCCCTCCAGCTCCGCTCTTGAACTTCACCACCATGACGGTGATGTTGTCGGGGCAGCCGCGGTAGAAAGACTGGAGGACGATGCTCTTGGCGCCGAAGTGGGGCTCGTCCAGACGCTCGCGGACGAACCGCACCGCCTCCTCGTTGCTGAAGGCGTCCCACAGGCCGTCGGACGCCAGGATCATGAACTCTGGCTGCAGTTTGTCCAGGTCAAAGGTCATGATATCAGGATCGGGAATGACTACGTTGAGGTTTTTCAACGGGTAGTCCCCGAGGGAGCGGGACATCGCGAGGATTCCCTGAACTCTCCAGGAGCCATTAAAACTGATGAAGCCTCCTGGAAGTGAAGGAATAAAAAAAAGAATTACAGAATAAAAGCACAAAGTGAAATTCTGGTGATGCAAATAAACAAATAAACCACCTATTAGTCCAAATCATGATAGATTTTGCATCTTTATTTGGCCCAAAAGCAGGAAACTCTGACACTGTAGAGCAGGGGTGTCCAATCCTGGTCCTCGAGGGCCGCAATCCTGCATGTTTTAGATGTTTCCCTCTTCCAGTACACCTGATTCAAATGATCAGCTCATCATCAAGCTCTGCAGAAGCCTGATAACGATCCTGATCATCTGAATCAGGTGTGTTGGAAGATGGGAAACATCTAAAACATGCAGGATTGCGGCCCTCGAGGACCAGGATTCGACACCCCTGCTGTGGAGGGTTTAACACAGTGCTGTTCCAGAACACACCAACAGATGGCAACATAGGACCCCCAAATTCAAGAGGTGGAGTGTGCAGGTAGAGTTTAATATTAAAATATTGTGGTTCTCATCCTGTACCTGCCCTCTTGATCCTCTTGCGTTCTTTAAGCTGATACGGCTTGTGGTCATGTGATAGCGCAACAGCATTCCCGTCCTTGTCACACAGCACACCACGTGAGTCTCCGACATTGGCCACCGTGAGCTCTCTGTCCGACAGCAGCGCCACCAGACACGTCGTCCCTGAACAGAATCACAAAAATAACAGACGAGGTTGACAACAATTTCAGCGAATGTTCTGAACAATCCCCAAATACAAAGGCTACTCACTGATAATTCTTTTCTCTTTTTTATTTTTTTTTATTTTTACCCAGCTTGGAGTAACAGAAGCTCAGGATTTACAGACCATAACACTTTTAGTAGCCTCTGATGGTTTCACAAAACAGTGTATTAAACTGCTTTCCTGTGCGCAAACATGCTTTTTGTTATTATCCTGTCCCATGATGCCAGACCATAATAGGCATTTGCAAATACTATTTGTGCCAGATTTACAGCATTACATAAAACGAGGCTTAGCTTTGTGAATATCTAACTTTAGTAACTGTTTTTTAAAGATTATTTTTGGGGCATTTTTTTCTTTACAAATGAAAAAAAAAAAAAGAGAAAGAGGACCGGGACCAAACCTGGGCAGCTGTGGTAAGGATTCAGCTTGTGCCACTAGTGTGCAGGTTCTGACAGGCGAGCGGCTGAGACACTCCCTAACTTTGGTAGCCGTTAAAACAGTATAAAAGAAGGACTGTTCATGTTTGGTTAACATGATGTTTATCTCTGGTAATTAAAGACTAAGCGTCTTGCAACTATTTGGGCTAAGTCCCAAAAAATACAGCTGCTGTCTGGTATGATAGCGTCAGCCACTATTTCATTTTAACTGTCAGAATAAATACAGTGATTTATAAGGATTTGACTTCACCCAGTCCCCACAGCTCCAAGCACAAAAGGCAGCACTTGATCAAGGTTAAAATCTCTCCACTTGGAGAACCGGGAGTTTTTTTCTTAATAATGTGGTTGAACTGTGAGTCAAAAGGAGACAAACGGGATGTCAGTGTCAGTCTTCTGATGTGTCTTCAGTGGACACAGTGGCAAACAAATCATGCATTTCTATACACCGCTTAATCCTCACGAGGGTCGCGGGGGGGCTGGAGCCTATCCCAGCTGACTTAGGGCGAAGGCAGGAGACACCCTGGACAGGTCACCAGTCTATCACAGGGCCACACTTAGAGACAGACAACCAAGCACACTCACATTCACACCTACGGACAATTTAGAATCACCATTTAACCTCAACATGTTTTAGGACTGTGAGGGAGGAAGCCGGAGAATCCGGAGAGAACCCACGCTGCACGGGGAGAACATGCAAACTCCACACAGAAAGATTTCGGTGCCCCCACCGGGACGCGAACCGGCAACCTTCTTGCTGCAAGGCTACCAACTGCGCCACCCTGCAGCCGCAAACAAATCAATAATATAAAAACAATAGTTGGCCCAAAATGTGAGGGACATGTTTGTTTTTCAGACAAATGTATCAAATGCCACCAACCGATCAATCTGAGCTGTTTCTCTGAAATGTATCAGCGAGTGTGCAGCAGCGTAACGTTACAGCATCGTAGTGTCACTCTCCTCAGTCAGCGATTCCACTGGGTTGTACTGAAAAGAGTCCATCCGAGAGGTAAATGTCAGCTGGGAGGGGAGGATATTATACAGGAAATTGTGAGATTTTACTAGATAGGCGCTGTGCTGTGGTGCAGCATGTCCCTGAAGAGGCAGAGAGCGGAATGAAAGAGTCCTCGAAGGCATCGTTTAACACGATACGATACGACTGAGGCGAAGGTGCTGCGTGATTCACGCAAATGTTGAATGTAGATGAAAATGTATTTGAGTGTATGAGCTAACACGCTGCAGCATGATGAATTGCAAGCTGTATCTTTACTATGTGTCTAACCTGGTTATTCTAATTTCACCAAATCCTCATCTAGCTTTGCGACAAGTGTCTAAAGTCTGATTTTCTCTCTCTTTGTTTGCCCACACGCTCCATCCCTCCTCCCCCTCCTGACCTGCTTCGTCGTGGTTGGCGGAGAGCTTGTCCAGCATCTCGCGATCCACGGACAGGATGCGCTGCTCGAGGATGCTGCCGTACGACAGAGCGCTCTCTCTCTTCTCCCTCTCAAAGGCCTGCAGCTGCTGCTTCAGGGTCTCGGGCAGGTGGGCCTTCACATAGTCAGCTGCAGCCTGGGACGGGGGGATTAAACAGAGGACAGAGAGTGAGGAAAGGTGGCACACAGAGCTTTCTTTGACATCAGTGATGTGAGGTCGGAAATATCAAGCCACACTCTTTTTTTACATCAGTAATATGGAGACAAATGCAAGAGATTTGTGTAACTTGAACAGCAATTTGCAGGTTTTTAATCCAACTATGTCTAAAATGTTAGCGGGTGTATCATGAAAAAGTTTAAAAACAGACATTTTTGGCAAAGCAGCAGAATTTTTGAATTTTCCGAAAAGCTTGTTTGATGTGTCGTAACTCCAAAACAGCATCAATCACTGTTATTACTTTAGCAGCATGTTAAATGTCTATGAGTGATGAAAATATGCTGCTTGTAGTGTTCCCTAAATCTAGATTTCTCCTCAACAGAGCAGTGATTTGAACCGTTTTAGCTCACTGTTTTGGAATTTCATCATCTATTTCCAGTGGAATGGTTTTATTATACCCACTGGACGCTGCCTGTCCAGCACCAAATTGCAGCATTTATGCAGTAAAGACTTGGACATTTCCCTCAGTGACTGGTGGAGTCCAAAACAGAGCAGTGAATTCTGGCAGTTGGTCCACAACAGAACTTTTGGCTAAATAGTAACGTTGCTAACTGTCTGTTTGTGTAAATAGGTAACCAAGTCCAGTTACATATTCACCATGGCATTCGTGCAGATGTATGTTGAAAACCTTGGCTTTACACCAACCTATGGCGTAAGTAGTGAAGTTCTGCTTTTGGTTTATGAAACAGTTTTAGAGAGCGTCGCTTTACATGGCACACAAGGGTGTGCTCACATGTCTCATCCACACAGTCATGAAGATCATCTTTAGGCTTTATATGAAAAATCCGGTTCGTAGTGAGGCGCAGAAGATTCTGAATGACACAACACACATCCGGAATCCAGAACTTGATCTAAGTGTAGACTAAACCGATTTCATCAATCCCACCGGCCATCAAGATTTCAAACAGCAGCAAACAAGACGACTCTATGATCATGACACTTGTGACTTGTCTTTGACTCTTTTATTCTCTGCAGAAATTACTGCTTTCTTTTTACCTTATCTAGTTGATTATATGCAGTTTTGTTTTTAATGAACTGCATCTATTTTCTCAATCAGCTCAGGCCCTTTTGCATGAATTATGATGTGCGTTATTTGGAGCCAGAGACAAGTTTCCTCATGGGACAATAAAGTATGTATTTAATTCACATCTACGTATGTGCATATGCAATTTTTTTTTCTTTCTTGCAGGTGCCAAGAGATTCCCTTTCTCCACTAATTTACAGGATTATTGTTGGTGACTTCCACAAAACATGCCGCTCTTATCCGTAAACCTGCTGGCACTGCACAAAAACGGATTTCATCACACACTTACATTAATTATTCTCAGTTTGACAGGTTTAAAAAGACAGAATGAAAAATGTTTTGACTTTTTCGCGAGAGTTGTTGCCTGGCAATGCGGTCCGATACAACTCTAATTTAGAGGAGTGCTTTTTTGGTTACATACAGCAGGTGTTCCGCGCTGAATTATTGAACAACCTCCTCCTCCTCCTCCTCCTCCTCCTCCTCTTCCTCCTCCTGGCTTTACTTATCTGCTTCTTCCCTCATTTTCTTTGCCAAGATTTCCATTACGCTAATGCCGTCGAATCAAATCTAAAACGGGGAAATTTTTTATGCCATTTTAATGTCCCTCGGTTGATACAGAACACATATCTCATATTCACACTTCCTATGAAAATCAGGACACTGGGCCGTTCGCTGTGCTGATTTCTGATCTGCTGACGTGCTTTAGCAGCTCTACAGCAAAACTATTAGAATTTATGTGAATGCAGTCTGAGTTTAACTTTAATCGTGAGTCATTTTTTTTACACATGTGATCATGAATTTTGGTTTTAACAACTAGAAAAATACCAGATCAGGTGTTTGTTCTTGAATCTCGCTGCTACATTTTCATCTTAGAAAACTGTTTCCTTCAATTGAATAACATTTAAACTGACAACGACTATAACTGTACTTCTGAAGAATATGGAATTGGGAATTGAATGCAGCTCCAAGTGAAGTATTGAGAGGTTATGAAGTTCCTAATTATCAGGAGAGAAAAAGCATCTCCTCCCCGCCTTTATATCCTTTCAGCTGGTCAAGAGTACTCCATCATTTATTTAACTGGACGGAGAGGCACTAAGTGAGCCGGAATCAGGAAAAGACCTTCAAGTGTAAATTTCCATTTGCGACAAAAAAATCCAGAGGGAGTGCAGCTACAAGCCTTTTAATTGACCCACATGTTGTACTGTCTTTACATACCAACAGTGAACGCAAAATACGAGGCCAACTCTGTTTCAAGTGGATTAAAATGTATTCTGAATTTCTGCTGCTTTTATGAAACCCCATCCTCCTCCAACTACAAATTCAATTAGATAAAGCGAAGCCTGTTTTGCTTGTGAACTATTCAAAGTTCCTGCTTCAGCAGCAAATAAGTCACGATAAATCAAGCTAAAAGAGCTTGTGCTGACTTTTGTAAGTCTGGGGCCATAACTCAGCGCCTCGATAAAAACTACACACACACACACACACGCACACACACACACACACACACACACACACACACACATACAAAAAAAAGAACAGAGACGCGTTTGAGAATTTTGCTGCATATTTTCAGAGCCAGGACGCACTGCACTGAGAGGCAGTCTGTTCTTTCTGCCCATATTTGGCTTGGCTGCATCGCTTCATTTAATATTGGTGATGTGTGTGTGTGTGTGTGTGTGTGTGTGTGTGTACATTTCTAATTGTGCCAAACTGCATAAAAATGCAGCAGTAAACAAATGCCCTTGCAGTTTTCCTGACACATCATTCGCACTGAGGGTCCCGCAAAGGTAAACGCAGCTTTGACGAATGACCCTCGACTCATTTCTCACTGATCTAAAAAGCATTTCCAGTTAGGACCCAGTTGTTTTTTTTAAAACTGTGACTGGCGTGTTAGCGAGTGTTTTCCATGTTGCAGAATGAGATGTGTTTACTGATGCTAATGAGCCTATAATAGCAGAGGCAGACGTCAGAGTGACCCGCTCCATGTCCTAAAGAGTGACAATAAAAGAAGAAAAACAGAATAGTAGGGGACCGACATGCGAACACACACACATGCTGAGAAATGCAGATTTGCATAAGCAAAGAAATAGAGCAGGAGAGTGATTGAAAAAGGAGGAAGAAACAGAGAGAGAGATATCAGGACAGAGGGGAAGGATAAATATTTGTTTACGGGACAGAAATAGACAGAGCGGTCCAGATGGGTCAACACCCTGGACTCTCTCTCTCTGTCTCTGTCTCTCTAACTGAACACAACCTAAAGGCAACTTTTGCATCTTATTTTTTAAGAAACGAACAGGCAGCCTGAATGAGCTCCTCGTGTATTCCTGTATTTAAGAAAACGCATTTCACTGCAGTTCTGTTCAGGTCTATACTTTAAGAGTTCCCAACAGTTGCAGCTTCTCTGGACAGCTAACGAAACTAATCCCTCTTCACTTAAGACAGCAAATCAATTCCCTGCGTCTAATGAAAACCTTAAGAATGGAGCTTAAAAGATTAAAATCAATCAGTGACTCTTTGGATTCATTAATCTAGTCGATTTTAAGCAAAAAAAATTTAAAGAAAGCTGCTTCCACGCTTTAAAATGTGAATATATGTTGTTACCAGTCAGTGATAGCAAACATTTGCGGAGGGTTGAACAAAACAAGCAATTTGAAGATATCTAACTAAATTCTTTGGGAATTTTTTATGAGCATTTTTCAATTTTTTCTCTTTTTTTCTATATATATAAAGACTTATTGAGAAAATAACTGGCCCTACAGTCAGAGCTTAGAGAAGCTATCATTTGGAATCTCCATTTAATAAGATTTCTTGCTTAAGCTCCACGATTATGACTTAATCCGCATTTCTGTTTTCCCCTGCTCAATAACGAGGATATATATAGTCAATTTATAACCCCAACGTGCTCCTTCTTCTCTCGTAGTTTCATACCTGCGTGGCATTTGTTTGGGATTCCGTAGGTTTCAAATCTAAGCAAAGCAGAACTCACAGTCAAACCCTCAACCACTACTATCCCACACTGCTGCATGTTGAGTAATGCAACTTCAGGGGGGGAACCGCGGTGATGGAATGACAGATGGCGTCCAAGACAAGTGGTCTTCAGGCAGCAATGAGAAACCGGTGACCCCTGACAGCACAGGCAGTGGAGGAGAGAGAGAAAGGCAGACAAAAAGCACACACCCCACACTATAAAGCATTGCACACACACACACACACACACACACACAAAGCTCTTTGTGATGAATCCCAAGTCAACTCCCTGATTGGCAGTGGGACGGTCGAGGTGCTCGCACAAGAGAACACAATGCTGGTGAGGGGAAGAGGGGAGGTGCTCCGTTTGAAAATGCAGCGAGCGTGAAGCGAGTAACACGAGTGATGGATCAAACAGGCCACTTCTGCACCAACAGAGACCTGACATCTTTATGGAAAGTTTCAAATGGCCTCATCCTAACTTTTACTTGTTATAAATCTTTATATCTGTGGATATATTCTCAGTCATCCAGGTAACAGTAGGAGCTCTAGTAAAAAAGAAAAAACAACTGGACTCTTTCTCTTTTGGATATCTGGAATCTATCATCATGCAGCTAGATGTAAAGAAGATTACTGGATGAGAACTGAAATATCTTCAAGAACCTAAAAAAAGCAATCCAGGTGCTTTTATACTGAAGCTCCAGGGCTTTAATTTCACCTAATGCCCCTAAAATATTTCACAATAGCTGTAATTTAGAGTTTTTCCATGACACAGCATCTGCATTCATTCCAAAATATGCATTTATGTGCATGCACAACAATAACTGCCACTGTAAGCCTGATCTTCCAGTCCTGTCCTCCTATCTCCTGATCTGATGCGATGCTGACAACTGCAGCATCAGATCTGGACGGATCCAAAACTAAACGCACTGCTCCATCACGGGGCCTGTGTAACCTGTCCCCCCCCCCCAGCCCTACCTCTCCGCCGTGACCGTCAAATATCCCGAATATGGACGGGTGGGTCTTGTTGGTGATGTCGGTGAGCACCTCGAAGCGGTCCTCCATGTGGTCCCTCCTGCCCTGTATGGAGTACACGGCTACGTTGTTGTTCTTGAACTCCCAGGTCTTGGAGAACTCCGCATCCAGGACGCTGAGGCCTCCAAGCCGGTCATTCTGCATCATCTCCGCCACTTTCCCCTTAACCATCTTCACGGCGTCCCGGCTGGACTTGACGATGGTTTTCACCTCGTCGGTGTGAAAGAAGTAGCTCCACAGCGCCAGACTGATGCACAGAAGGAACAATGTCTCCGGCCTGAGGAGAAAATAGCGCATGATCCGACCCAGAAGAGACAAGAGCGTCATTGTGTCTCCTATCATCACACGCAACCAAACTGCGGTCTGTCTCTCCCCCCTTTTTTTTTTTTTTTTTTTTTTTTTCACAATTCACTCCATCCGCTCAGAGGAGCTATGAGGAAATCGATTCACTACCGCGCTGTCAGACAAAGCCTGGATTTCAACATTGAGAGTGCTTCTCCGAGCGCATTTACGCACTGTGCGCGGCAGGCAGCCAGACGCCGGGCAGAGAAGCGCAGGACAAAAGCGAGCAGGCCACCGCTCATTGACTCGCTCCGACGTCTTGGTCCTGTGCTCGGCTCTGGGAACAGCTGCAAGAGGATTCTCCGAGTTCACCCGATCTCCCACAGCCCATTGTAGACTGACGGGCTGTTCTTTTTTCTTTTCTTTTTGGTTCTTTTTTTTTTTTTTTTTTGGGTTAGACCCACCCAGGAGAGAGGGACACGGGAGTCACCTGGGTGGGGGGGACGCGAGTCGACGATGTGACTTGGAGGTGTCCTCCTTTTCTGCCGTTGACCCCGTTTCTACTGTCGGATATGTGTCTATTCAGTGTCCGCATCAACATGATATTTTCACACACACACACACGCCTCCATTCTTGAGAGTCGTCAAATCACCAGAAGACACACCGAGGCTTAGGTCGGAAGAGTGTTGGTTGGCTTAATAAAGCAAAAAACAGCGGCCGGAAATAGCACTCTACCTACATGCTTTCAAACGTGAGGGTTTAATTTTGAAGGGCCGGAGCGGAAACAGTTTGCATTGCGGCAGCCTTGACGCTGACTCGTTCTTCAGAAACGTAGTCGGCGCTGACGAGAGTGCGCAGCTGCAAACTCACACCACGGACAAGTAAACCAGCGGACCAATGGCGGGGGGCTGCGGAATCAAATGACGTCATCCGGTATCATACATCACAGGGACCGTTTCACTCCAGATGTCTTCTGCTGACTTTTTATGAGCAACTGGACATTAATCAGGATCAGGGGGATTATTTAGCAAGGCCAGGGACAGAATAGCATCCAGACGTACACTCACAGGAGCTACACTGCATATCCAACAAAATTTAAAATCCATGACACAATAATATCTAATTATAGACTGCAGTATAGGCTACTACTGCCCAGTAATTAATACAACACAAGGCTTTTCTTCATAGGTGCAATACAGCAGCTATTGCACTGAGCAAATGCTGCCTCCTGGTGGCGCTCTGGAGTAATACAGCATTCATTATGCGTACCTAACATTCACTCAACAGCTATAAATATCACTCAGCATGTAAAGAGTCGATTTTTATTTATTTTCTATCACAGGAATGACTGTCCTCTTTTCTTTTCTTTTCGTTTTCCCACCTTTTTTTTTGCAGCTTATGCCAGTAGTGAGCTGTACACTGGAAACCAGTGTGTCCCAGTTCAGACTTGTATGAGGCAGTATGATCTGTAGTCAAGGTTGGTCACTTCGACCTCCACCAGGGTTGTTGAATCGTTCAGTGTAAATGAAAACACAAGCATGCAGATGTCTTTTGTAGGAATTATTTGGATTTTTGTTGTTTTTGTGAGGCAGCTCAGGAAAAAATAAAAATAAAAAATAGGGGCGTCTCCATATGCCAGCATTATCATGATTTTTAAGCAAATAAAATATTGGTGCCATTTTAATGCTATACATATACAGTATGCAACAGAAGTGAGTACAGTTTGGTGGGAAATATCACTTTAATGTCAAATGATGCCAAATTATATTATATATAATTATAATTGTATATATAGGAGGCGGACACCCTCTCTACCTTTAAGATTAGGTTAAAAACGTTCCTTTGTGATAAAGCTCATAGTTAGGGCTGCTCGGAGTCATCTGAGCTGTCCCTTAGTGATGCTGCTATAGGTCTAGACTGCCGGGGGATTCCCATGATGCACTGGGCTTCTCTCCTCTCCTCTCCTCTTTATATATATA